CAGCCATTTTTCAGCCAGGCCAGTCAAAACTGAGCCAAATGATGGCCAGCAGCCTGGGCTGGGGAGGCCACGTACCTCATCTGCTGCGTCAGCGGCTTCTTGCGGCTGTACTGGTGCAAGTGGGAGAACAGGTTGACCTTGGTGCCATAGTCCTGCCTCAGAGGTACCTGTAGCCAAATGGTATTCAAGATGGCTTACCCACGCTGCCACACAGTCCTGCCCCCTCTCGTCAGGGCACGCCAGTCCCACCCCACCGCGCACACCGCAGCCCCTCACCAAGCCCTCCTCCCACCTGCTGCCTCTCCAGCTTCTTGGCCAGTTTCCTCTGGGCAGCAGGGTCATCCACCTGCACGTGTTCTGGCAGCCGCTTCACCACTGCGGGGACAAGTGGCGTGGGTGGTGTGAGGGGGCACTGCCCTGGTGCAGCCCCCAGCCCAGCCACACTGTGCTGGAACTCGGGAAACACGGGGCAGGGCTCAGGGAACTGCACAAGGATGGGACAGGCAGACAGCTGCCGCAGCCCCCTCCCCACCCTGCAGTGACCATGCCCGTACCAGACTGGGGCTCGGTGGGGGCCAGTCTGGGCTTGGCTGTGGTGGCCCCCTGGCCCAGCTCTGCTTTCTTGGCCTGCTTCTGGGCCCGCTCAGCCTCCTGCTTGGCCCGGCGCTCTGCTCGTAGCTCAGCTTTGCTCTTGCCCCCTGCAGGCTTCTCGCCGTCATTGGGGCCATCAGCCACGGTGGGGGGGGATGTGGGGTGAGCAGCAACTGCAGGAAAGGAAGGAGGAGGTCTCTGCCCAGCCTCCCCCACCACACGTACCCCACGGTGTGGGGCACCAGTGGCAGGGAGACCCCTCCTCTGTGCAGGGCCTGCCTCTGGGGGGGTGGCTGGGACTAAGCCCCACATTCTCCAGCACTGTCCCACCCTCATGCAGCTGATATGGGGGATCACCAGGCCAGCCCTAAACTCGGTTTTGGGAGGCAACTGGCCTCTCTAGATCTCAGGTCCCACAAGACACAGGCACTTGGGTATGGAGAGGTCAGACACCCCAATGGCACCACTGTGGCCTCCCCACCCAGATGATGCTCCTAGCTCAGGGCTGTTCCAGCCAGGAATACTCCCGGGGGCATTCCCACCGCTGTCTGGGGCGCTGGGGACATCTGCCGTGGGCTCCCCCGGCTGGCAGGCTGCCTGGGGGGATGCAGATCCTCACCCCGAGG